CTGAGCCTCCACATGCCTGGCAATGCACACCACTGTGGGGTGGTAAAAACATGTAACACATTATGCAAAACGTGATAGCAACACAGTACTGTGCAATATTGGTTGCTGCCCTCATGGCCACTTGGCTGACTAGGAACTGCAGCTCACCACCACTACCCAGTAGCACAAGTGTGTCACAGCACACGACCAGGCCAAGAGAAGATCAAAATTACAAATCAGAGTATTGTTGCTACCAAATGCATATCCTTTTAATGACACTAAAAGTAAAAACTCATAAACCAGACTGTGGAGGTTTGAATGTAATCAGCCACCATAATCCCATAATCTCATGGGGAGTGGCACTATTAGGAGCTGTGGCTTTGTTGGAGTAGGGATGGCCTTGTTGGAGGAAATGTGTCACTGTGGAAGTGGGCTTTGAAGCTTCCTACACTTAGGATACTACAGTGTGACGCTCAGCTGATTTCCTGTTACCTACAAGATATAGCAGTCTCAGCTTCAGCACCACCTCTGCCTGAACGCTGCCATGTTCCCTGTTATAATTGACTGAACCTCTGAACTGTAAGTGAGTCCCTCAATTAAATGTTTCCTTTATCAGAGTTGCCGTGGTCACGGCGTCTCTTCACAACAACAGTAAACCCTAACTAAGACACAGACTGTGTCAGTCAGGGACATGCTGCATGTCTGAAATCACCAAAAAGGCATCAAGAATCCTTGATGCATCCTACCTTCCAGAGAGGACCTTCGTATCGTCTCAGTGCTTTGTAGATGACCTGCTGGAAACACGTTTCATTAAAGATGCATCTACAGAGGTTAGGCATTCCTTTATTTTCTTCACTAAAACTTACTGACTGAATTTAGTTCACCAATACACACCTTATTGCCAACAAGAAGATGCTTCATTTCAGCACCATGGGCAAGGTCAAGAGGTTTCTGATCTGTGTAAAATAAATGGGAAAAAAGTCGTTATGTCAACTATACAAAAAAAAAAAATCATTATAACCGTACCATACAATCCTTCTTTGTGCTTTCAAAAACTCCTCCCCACCAACAAAAATAAAACTAAATCACCTGTCAGAAGTCACCCTCTCAATTCTTTAAGGCCTCCTTTTAGGTCAGAAAATTTGATTCTCCTCAAAACAGTTTTTCTGGCCATAAATGACAGTTTTCTGACTGAATAACAAATTACCACAAGCCTGCCAGTGTAAAACAATACAGACTTATTGTCTCATCATCAATTTTTTAAAGCTTTATATTAACCTGTTACCTTCTGGCTGTTCAATTCTTTGAAAAAAAAAAATACCTGGTATGTATTGGTCATATTTGTTTCTATTTCTGCTCATGAAAATCTGTTATGTGCCAATCACCATTTTAAGGCACTGGTGATTTATAAATTCATAAAAAAGATATGTAACAGGTAATATACCACAGTATGCTAATATAATTAATGACAAATTTGATAGACAATACTACCACTCAGGTAGAAGGTGAGAGACTGTCCCTGGATGACCTCTCTGAGGCAGGGGTGGTTAGACACACACAGGGAATAGCTACTGTGAAGGCCCCAGGGGAGGAACAAGACAGAGGACAAGAGATTCATTCAGGAAGCTGCTCACACAGCCAGATCTAAGAGCCATAAGGAATAAGCTGTGTTTTCCAGACAGGATGGAAAGCTTCTGGAGGGTCTCAAGACAAGGAGTAATGTCATTTGACTAATGTTAAATTTTGTCAAATATTCAAAAGTATAAACTTTAGCAATTTCACAATCCTGAAAAATTACAATATTAACTGACTGATTCTATTTTGGTGTTTCAGGATTTGTTTTGTTTTGTTTTGTTTTGTGGAATTTATTCTCCTTCAGTGAAGAATATAACATCTGAGATTTCCCAATGCCTTGAGAGGCAAATGCAAACAATCTGAAATCAAAATAATTACACAGACTGAAGCAGACCCAGGCATTCAGGGACAAATCTATATCAAAGTATTTCTAGAAAAAAGCCATAATAAAATCAAACAAACCAAATAAAACATAAAAAGCCTTTGGTACCTTTCAATAACAAAAGGAAAATATTTAGATGGTTAAATTCATACAATATAAAAATGTAAATGTTGGGTTAACTTTATAAAACAGAAAAAAAATATATTAGCATCTAAGGGCCATGTGTCTTCTTTTTCTCCTCTCAGATTTTACTAAACCCCCAGGATTACCCAGGTTTTGTCGAAGTAATTCCTGAACTAAATGTTCTTCTGGTCTGTAGACATCTAACAGTATGGTGTTACACATTCACCTACGGTTAAAATGGCACCATTTAGTTCTCAGCAGAACAAATTCCATTGTCCCACAAGGAAGTCAACACTCTGCCTTGAAAGCTCCTGGCATTACAGCCATGCCTCCACTTCTTGGCTTAGCTTTGAAGATGGTGGTGACCAAATCTAGAGGCAGCCAATTAAACGGAACAAGAAGAACATATTCAGCCAAACATGTAATCTTAGCACTTGAGAGGCAGAAGGAATAGGTTCCAGGTCTATATAGTAAGACTGTGTCGGGAGCAACAACCAACAGAAAGAGTGAAAGAAAGTCAGAAGGAGAAAAATAATTTGTCAGACTGGGAGGCATTTAAGTAGAGACCCAGTATTCTCTACACACACCACTGCCTAGGAACTATGGTCAACTCCATATCCTGGGCTTCTATCACTAATCTCATGTTTTCTTTGCTGACTCTCCCATGTTCCTGCAAAAGAATCATGGTAAGAAAATGATACACAACTGTGATAGTAATTCTAAGCACACCATCTATTCAGTGTGTTTAATATGGTCATGGTAGGTATAGTATGGCCAATCAAAAAGTTATATGACTCTCCAGATCGAGTGCCAGGATAGGCTCCAAAGCTACACAGAGAAACCCTGTCTCAACCCCCCCCCCACCAAAAAAAAAAGTTATATGACAAATCTTGGTAGCTTTCTCTGTCTCACAAATATGATGTTGCTCCTACAATCGGAAACATGCTAAGACTTGCAAACTGGTTCTTGGCAATCATTGGCAATAGACCTAACCAATGTAAGCTAGGCTGACTTCATGAGATAATTCTTTAAATCAATCTATTTAAGTAGAAATGTGTCTTGTTAGAAGACTCACAAACTCAAGCACAATATCCAATTAGAAGGAAAAGGAAAAAACTGCTTGGAAGTCCCTGGGATTTATCAAATGAAATTTGACCTGGATCTTGTTTAATACTAACTAGCCAATAATATCCATGACTTGACAAGCTTTCCCTGCAGAGAAAAGTGTACATCAACCATCTGGCCCATTCATGAAGAAAGCTATCCTTTTTTCTGGCTAAAATAGGACTGCAAATCTCAGGCTGAGCTCTCAACTTCAGCATTCAAAACAAAAATGCCACAGAATAGTCAACATTTATCAAAGCTTGTGAGTGGGTGGCAGAGGGGCCACTAGTTTGCTCTTTCCATTTCTCAAACATTTCCTTCTCAGAGTCAGAGTGAAAGGTCCCAAGTCATATCATGCTGATAGGTGGAGATTTCACTTAGCCCCAAGTTTATCCCATTCAAGGCTAGTCTTGTTTGAGAACTGTTCAGTGCTCACCAGAGTCCACCCAAAGGGAGCAGGGATTTTGCTTAAGAATGACTCGGGACTACTGTCCAGACAGCTCCTATCTTGTCTATGCTGCTTGGAAATCTCACTTGTACTAATATACATGTGAGAATGCATGCCTGTGTTATTCTGAGAAGTCTGAGACTGTGAGTTGGTTTGAATATGAACAAGGGGAATAAAGAGACAATGGTAAGTAACACGGGAAATCCCACTAGCAGGCAGTGCTGGTGTCTGTGGTACTGGAATTGAGTGCTGGGGCTTGTGTGTGCTATGCAAGTATTCTAATGTTAAGATCTGCCCCAGCAGCACTGGTGCCTTCTACTACACTTCATAAACGGTTCGCAAAATATATCTATCCAAGCATTTCCTTTCTCCAAAAATATAATCCCATCACAAAATAGAACAAGCAGCTGTTACTCAGGGGAGCTGCATTTGAAAATCTATGTGCATGTGTGTAAGTAAACTACCAGAGCTGAAAATGCCTTTGCATATGGACAGAGCAAACTTCCTATTAACTATCGAAGTAGTACTCTTCCTAGTATCTCTCAATCAGTCTTATGCATACAGTGAAACTTCCCCCTTGCAAGAGATAAAGAAGGAGGTTTTCCAGCAGCAATCCTTTCCGTCCTGTAACGTGGCTGTGATAGTGCATGATTGTAATGGTGGTTCTGGAAGCACCCATAGGAGCCTGGAGAATTTATAGCGGTGAGGATTTCCATTACAGAAAGGAGTTGAGAGCATCTAACTTCTCCAACAGGTGTTATTACAAAGTACCAGCGTAGTAACATTGGTGATTCTGCAATAAGAACCTTCAGTGTCCTTTGTCAACCTGCATTGCTTTTCTTCTTTCTGATTCAAAGACATAATGATCCTGGCAAACGGGTTTCAAGGGTGCAATGCAGGCAGCGTAAAGAGGAACAGGTTCGTGTAATACTGGTGTCTAGTAAGATTTAGGGCAGAGCCAGTGTTTTCTCCCTGATTGTGCTGCACAATTACCTCTAATCATTAACGAAGCAGATTATAGCATGTGAGAGTATTTTCAGGTGAGCAAGTAAGAGAACCCACCACCAGAGCCCTGATTAGCTTAGAACAATCATGCAGTCCCCATTATTCCAGTGTCCGCCAAAAAGTACCTCTTCCAGGTCAAGCAAAGTGGCTGATTGTGCATGTGGCTTTGTCACAGTAATGCATCAGGTAAGCAGGTATGTGTTGAGTACCAGGGATGCTTCAAATTGTAACTCCATCACCTTCTCTTTCTTCTAAGGTTCAGTCAAATGTAAAAATTAGAAAGGTTCAGGGGGGGGACAAAAGGGAAACGTTTTGTTTTTCCCTTTTTTAAAAAAAAAAAAAAAAAAAAAAAAAAAAAACTGTCATAATCTTCACAGTATCGGTTGCCGTTAAATATCTGAGGTAGCAGAGGGTTGCCCTGCACAGGATTCTTCTCAGGGAGAATGTTCTTGTACATCTACTGACTCTGTTCTTCCGACATGGTGATGTCCACTTCCTCGAACTCTATCTTGTTGGCTTCCAGAAATCTAACCATATCCTGCTGCTTCTTCACCACAAAGCCCAAGGACAAGGCGACGAACACGCCGACCACCATCCTCTGGCTACACTGGGAAACGCTGCTGAGGCACACACAGAAGCTGAAGGCGGCTGAGGCTGCTGCAGACCACGGGATCGTCCAAGAGGACCGCGGCAAGGAATCTAGGAATCGTTCTGCCACGCAGATGGAAAGCCCGGCCATGTTTCAGGTTTTTAACAGCTCTACCAACATAGAAATTCACATGCCACACAATCTATACACCATACAATTCTACTTTAAAGGGCATAATTAGTCTTTAATATGCTGAGAACTGCATGCCTATGAAATAGTTGCTTATTATTTTTTTATTAATATACCGAACTATTTATCAAAGGAGCGGTATGGATTGGCTCTCTGGAGCGGTATGGATTGGCTCTCTGGAGCGGTATGGATTGGCTCTCTGGAGCGGTATAGATTGGCTCTGGAGCGGTATGGATTGGCTCTGGAGCGGTATAGATTGGCTCTGGAGCGGTATGGATTGGCTCTCTGGAGCGGTATGGATTGGCTCTCTGGAGCGGTATGGATTGGCTCTCTGGAGCGGTATGGATTGGCTCTCTGGAGCGGTATGGATTGGCTCTCTGGAGCGGTATGGACTGGCTCTCTGGAGCGGTATGGATTGGCTCTCTGGAGCGGTATGGATTGGCTCTCTGGAGCGGTATGGATTGGCTCTCTGGAGCGGTATGGATTGGCTCTCTGGAGCGGTATGGATTGGCTCTCTGGAGCGGTATGGATTGGCTCTCTGGAGCGGTATGGATTGGCTCTCTGGAGCGGTATGGATTGGCTCTCTGGAGCGGTATGGATTGGCTCTCTGGAGCGGTATGGATTGGCTCTCTGGAGCGGTATGGATTGGCTCTCTGGAGCGGTATGGATTGGCTCTCTGGAGCGGTATGGATTGGCTCTCTGGAGCGGTATGGATTGGCTCTCTGGAGCGGTATGGATTGGATCTCTGGAGAGGTGTGGATTGGATCTCTGGAGAGGTATGGATTGGATCTCTGGAGAGGTGTGGATTGGATCTTTGAAGTGGTATGGATTGGATCTCTGGAGAGGTGTGGATTGGATCTTTGAAGTGGTATGGATTGGATCTCTGGAGCAGTATGGATTGGCTCTCTTGGGAATGGCTTCAAGACAATCCGGGGAGTGGAAGGGAATGAAAGGAGAACGCCATTGCTTTTAATCCAGGAAAAGGCCATGGGCTTGACTTTGTCCTGAGGCAGATTTAAAGAACTGCTGATATGTTCACCTGTAGCTGCTGTCATCCTCTTCTTCAGTGAGGAGAAAAACCCTTCTTATTGTTCACTGAGAAACCAGTCATCAGTTTGGTTTTTCTAGGAAGATAATGGTCTGCCAATTTTATTATTCTCATCCTATATGCAGGGCACTTTTGAGAAACTTTCCTCCCAGCAGAGGGAGGAATGATAATATGATTTCTTTCATAGACTTTTACCCTGAGGCCAAAGATAAATTCTGAGCTGCTGCCAACTAGATGAAATCTCAGAGCTTCATCTCTAGAC